TGCAATGGTTGAAGTAGTTTACACTCCCATCAAAAGTGTAAAAGTGTTCCTATTTCTCCACATCCTCTCCAGCATCTGTTGTCTCCAGATTTTTTAATGATCACCATTCTGACTGGCGTGAGGTGGTATCTCAATGCAGTTTTGATTTGCATTTCTCTAATAATCAGTGATGATGAGCATTTTTTCATATGTTTGTTGGCCTGATATATGTCTTCTTTGAGAAGTGACTGTTCATATCCTTTGCCCACTTTTGAATGGGTTTGTTTGTTTTTTTCTTGTAAATTTGTTTTAGTTCTTTGTAGAGTCTGGATATTAGCCCTTTGTCAGATGGCTAGATTGCAAAAATTTTTTCCCATTCTGTTGGTTTCTGGTTAACTCTAATGTTTCTTTTGCTGTACAGAAGCTCTGGTGTTTAATTAGGTCCCATTTGCCTATTTTGGCTTTTGTTGCCAATGCTTTTGGTGTTTTAGTCATCAAGTCCTTGCCTGTGCCTATGTCCTGAATGGTTTGGCCTAGATTTTCTTCAAGGGTTTTTATGGTGTTAGGTCTTCTTAAGTCTTTAATCCATCTGGAGTTAATTTTAGTGTAAGGTGTCAGGCAGGGGTCCAGTTTCTGCTTTCTGCACACTGTTAGCCATTTTTCCCAGCACCATTTATTAAACAGGTAATCCTTTCCCCATTGCTTGTTTTTGTCACGTTTGTCAAAGATAAGATGGTTGTAGATGTGTGGTGTTGCCTCCGGGGCCTCTGTTCTGTTCCATTGGTCTATATCTCTGTTTTGGTACCAGTACCATGCTGTTTTGATTACTGTAGCTTTGTAGTATAGTTTCAAGTCAGGTAGCGTGATGCCTCCAGCTTTGTTCTTTTTGCTTAGGATTGTTTTGGCTATGTGAGCTCTGTTTTGGTTCCATATGAAGTATAAGGTGTTCTTTTTCCAGTTCGGTGAAGAAGGTCATTGCTAGCTTGATGGAGATACTGTTGAATCTATAAATTACTTTGGGAAGTATGGCCATTTTCATGATATTGATTCTTCCTAACCATGAGCATGGAATGTTTTTACAGCTGTTTGTGTCCTCTCATATTTCCTTGAGCAGTGGTCTGTAGTTCTCCTTGAAGAGGTCCTTCACATCCCTTGTTAGTTGTATTTGTAGGTATCCTATTCTCTTTGTAGCAATTGTGAATGGGAGTTTGCTCATGATTTGGCTCTCTGTTAGTCTGTTATTGGTGTATAGGAATGCTTGTGATTTTTGTACATTGATTTTGTATCCTGAGACTTTGCTGAAGTTTCTTATCAGCTTGAGATTTTGGGCTGAGACAATGGGCTCTTTTAAACTGTTCATTGTAACATCTATGAGTATAATAATTTGAAACCTCCCATTTGCAATTTTTATATGAATCTTTTTATTTGTTAAGTCTTATAACTATAATGTTTACTTACTACATTATTTTAAGTATATCAATTTTTGTCACTTTTACTTGACTATTGAAAATAGCATTAATTAGTGCCAGTTGCAGATCAGTAGCATTAATTAGTGCCAATTACAGATCATTAAGCTCAACATTATGTGTTGTAAAAATTATCAAAGATCACTGATGATTAGAGAAATGTAAATCAAAACCACAATGAGATACCATCTCAGGCCAGTCAGAATGGGTGATTATTAAAAAGTTAAGAAACAACAGATGCTGGTGAGTTTGTAGAGAAAAAGGAACACTTCTACACTGTTGGTGGGAATTTAAATTAGTTCAACCATTGTGGAAGACAGGGTGGTGATTCATCAAAGATCTAGAGGCAGAAATATCATTTGAACCAGCAATCCCATTACCAAGTATATCTCCAAAAGAATATAAATTATTCTGTTTTAAAGATACATGCACATGTATGTTGATCACAGCACCATTCACAATAGCGAAGACATGGAATCAACCCAAATGCCCATCAATAATAGACTGGATAAAGAAAATGTAGTACATATGCACTATGGAATACTATGCAACCATAAAAAGGAACAAAGTCATGTCATTTGCAGGGACATGGATGGAGCTGGAAGTCCTTATCCTCAGTAAACCAATGCAGGGACAGAAAAACAAATATCACATGTTCTCATTTATAAGTGGGAACTGAACAATGAGAATACATAGACACATGGGGGGGAACAACACACACTGGGGCCTGTTGAGGTGGGCAGGGGCAGGGAGAGCATCAGGAAGAATAGCTAAAGGATGCTGGGCTTCATACCTAAGTGATGTGTTGATCTGTGTAGGAAACCACGATGGGACACATTTACCTATGTAACAAACCTGCACATTCTGCACACATACCCCAGAACTTAAAATAAAAGTTGAAGAAAAAAATTATCAAAGCTGAAAGGGCAGTTATGTTATAGAGATAGAAATTTGAGAATGTAGAGATACCTTTTTTTTTCTTTTTAAAATATTCGCTTGGTAAAAAGAGCTTTGTAGAAAGTTGCAGAGGGTGGCTATAAAATAGTAAATTCCTGAGGAAGAACTTGATCCTGAAGAGAGGGACAACTTCCTCCAGCAGCTTTTTAAGTTTATGGAAGACAAAGTTACTCCAATCAAGAAACCACCTGTTTTGGGCTGTAAAGATCTCAGTCTCTTCAAACTGTTCAGACTGGTTTATCATCACGGTGGATATGACAATATTGATAGTGGTGCTCTATGGAAGCAAATTTATATGGACCTTGGCATTCCTATTTTGAAGTCAGCTGCTTCCTACAAAGTAAAAAATGCTTATAGAAAGTATCTCTATGGTTTTGAGGAGTACCGCCATTCAGCAGATATTCAATTCAGAACGATTCATCACCGTGAACCAAAAGTAAAAGAGGAAAAAAAAGACTTAGAAGAATCAATGGAAGAGGCTCTCAAATTAGATCAAGAAATGCCTTTAACAGAAGTGAAAAGTGAACCTGAGGAAAATATTGATTCAGACAGTGAAAACAAAAGAGAAGAGGTAGAATTAAAGTCTCCGAATGGACAAAGAAGAATTGCTTGAGATGTAAATTCTATTAAAAAGGAAATTGAAGAAGAGAAAACAGAAGACAAATTAAAAGATAATGATACAGAAAATAAGGATGTAGATGATGACTATGAAACTGCAGAGAAAAAAGAAAATGAGCTACTACTGGGGAGAAAAAATACACTAAAGCAAAAAGAGAAAAAAATTAAAAAACGGAAGGATTCTGACAAAGACGCAGATGAAGAGGAAGAGAAAAGCCAAGAGAGGGAAGAAACTGAAAGCAAATATGACACTGAAGGAGAAGAAGATGAGGAAGACATGGAACGCTGCCTAACAGGAACCAAAGTGAAAGTAAAATATGGACGAGGGAAGACTCAGAATTATGAAGCCAGTATTAAAAGCACTGAACTTGATGATGGAGAAGTTTATATTTGGTACATTACTATGGATGGACTGTCAGGTATGATGAGTGGGTGAAGCCTGACAGAATAATCTGGCCTGTGGACAAAGGTGGACTAAAGAAAAAAGCTAAAAATAAAGAAGTTAGTGAAAAGGATGAAAAGAGGGATGAGGATAGACAGAAGTCAAAAGGGGGATGACCTCCTTTAAAATCAACCTTTCCTCAAACGTGCTGTATGGCTTATCTAAGACAGCAAACAGTGAAGGAAGATCAGGTGCCAGAAGTGCTCACAGCAATATACCAGACAGCTCACCTCTGTCAAATGGAATGGAAGGTGCTCGATTTTGAGGATCGCTGACTTTAAAAAAATCAATAATATAAATAATAAAACATCCATTGTGTGAAATATTCATGGTAAAAAAACACATTCACTTAACTAGATTCTGATATCTCCTTACATATGATTGCAGTTAATGATAGAGTGGCCTAAGTGAAAAGAAATTAACAGACGTTAAAAAGAAAATTATTTAGCAACTTATTTTTAAAAAGTAGCTTGTGGCTTATTGGAGCACAAATTATATAATAGTGTTTTATGTATATATATGTGTATATGTGTGTATATTTTAACATGTATATACAAACACAATCACAAAAATTACTATATGTATTTCTTATATGTAGTTTATATATGTACACATATATATGAAATATAGTGATTTTTTCAAGTAAAAATCTTATTGTAGAAAATCTTTTTTTCTTTATTTTTATTTTAAAAAATTTTTATTTTAATTTTTGTGGATATTAGTAGATGTATATATTTATGGGGTACATGAGATGTTTTGATATAGGTATGCAACATATAATAATCACATCATGTAAAATGGGGTGTCCATCCTCTCAAGCATTTATCCTTTGTATACAAACAATTCATTATACTCTTTTAATCATATTAAAATGTACAATTAAATTACTATTGACTATAGTCTCCCTGTTGTGCTATCAAATACTAGATCTTATTCATTCTTTTTTTAAGTTTCCAACTTTTATTAAGTTCCAGGATACATGTGCAGGATGTGCAGGTTTGTTACATAGATAAACATGTGCCATGGTGGTTTGCTGCACAGATCATCTCACCACTCACGTATTAAGCCCAGCATCCATTAGCTCTTCTTCCTGATGCTCTCTTCCTGATGCTCTCTCCCCAACTCCCCAACCTCAGTAGGCCCCAGTGTGTGTTGTTCCCCTTCATGTGTCCATGTGTTCTCATCATTTAGCTCCCAGAAATTTTTTTTTATTTTTGAGACGGAGTTTCACTCTTGTTACCCAGGCTGGAGTGCAATGGCACAGTTTCGGCTCACCACAACCTCCGCCTCCTGAGTTCAGGCAATTCTCCTGCCTAGCCTCCTGAGTAGCTGGGATTACAGGCACGTGCCACCATGCCCAGCTAATTTTTTTGTATTTTTAGTAGAGACGGGGTTTCACCATGTTGACCAGGATGGTCTCAATCTTTTGACCTCATGATCCACCTGCCTCAGCCTCCCAAAGTGCTGAGATTACAGGCGTGAGCCACCACGCCCAGCTCCCAGAAAATTTTTAACATAGACAAAAGTGGAGAGAAAAGTATAATGAAACTCCATGTATTAATTACCCAATCTAAAAAAATTATACACATATGGCCAATCTAGTTTTATTTATTATCTCTTCAATCCCCACTTTCACCTTCACAGAACTAATTTTAAACAATTTCTAAGATTATATGATTCTATTAATAAACACTAGTTATTATTTAACATAGGTAATATTAACATGTAATGAGTACAAAAGCTATAATATTTAAAGCTCTTTTTTTTGCCATATAAAATGTAAATATTTGTTTAAACTCATGGCTTTCCTTGGTTCATCAAATCAGATAATTAATTAACCAGACAGGCTTGCAATCAATCAGACAGTATCCAAGTTGCTCCTGGCATCTTCAAAAGGTCAGGATTGTTCGGATGCTGTTAATAACAATAAACCATTAATAAATATAATTTTCATTATAAATTTAACCAAAGCTCACAAGTAAGTTTTGCTTTTTCATTTCAGGATCTGGTCTTCCTTTATAGACATCTAAGTATTAAACCTAATTTCTTTTATCCCATCATCCTCTTCCATTCATGGTGTTAATAATATTTTATACATGTGCTAGTAAACTGGGAGGAAATTGAGGACCCTCACTCATGTTAGACAGTGTCCTTTCTGCTCATTGGTGCTGTTGAGGAGAATTAGAATGTACCAAGGAGGGAATAAGGTTTTAGTTTTGGAATAGTGACTGTTCTTGGATTTCCTATAGCTGAGGGCAAAGTTGAGCATTGAAAGAGGGAGTGGGCATGAAAGCTGGTGTGTTGGGATGCTACTTTATGGGAACCCTGATGTTCTTATTCCTGGATAGCTCCAATATGTAGATGCAAAGAAGGGGATAAGCCTCAAGGACAGAGCAGTCCTTATCTCAGACATTACTGCTGAAGCTGTGGAATTCCTGCTATTAGCAGGGTGCTACGCATAAGTGTTTTCTTCACCCAGGACTGGAAACTACCTCTACCTGTGGAAGGAGAACATCTGTATACTGTCCTCACTCTGGGGCAGGGTCACTGCACCTCAACAGGCCACTCAGTCATTGTATTTCATCCTCTTCCCTCCCTTCCCTTGCTTCTTTGCAGTTGGGTGGTGGGAGGGCCTGCCCTCTCTTGTGCTTCCTGTGCCCATATGGTGGACACAGCTGAGGAGGCCCAACCTCTGCCTTCCCCAGTGCCGCCTTTCCATCTGTATGGGCAGCCAGGTGGTATTCTCAGTGGGCCAGAGAAGGAGCAGGAGGCCTCACTCTGGTGTCTACTCCTAGGCTAATTACCAGGGAAGCCTCCTTGGAGGATATGGGAGACTTGCCCATAAAGTAATGCAGCATTTTCCACCTGGCTGACACTTAGCATTCCTTATGGGTGTATTCCACAATTGAGAACTCTAGGAGAAAAGATTTCTGTTAGAAGATATAAGCACAAGGGTGTAAGGCCTCAAGCTGCAATCCAACTTTTAACTTCTAACTTGAGGAGTATTCTTTGTGGGGATATTGAGATTGTATAAAATATTGCAGGGCTTGTATACTAAGTTTACATGGTGTAGCTTAAAAAATAATGCTTAGGCCGGGCTCGGTGGCTCACGCCTGTAATCCCAGCACTTTGGGAGGCCGAGGTGGGTGGATCATGAGGTCAAGAGATCGAGACCATCCTTGCCATGATGAAACCCAGTCTCCACTAAAAATAAAAAAATTAGCCAGGTGTGGTGGCACACACTTGTAGTCCCAGCTACTTGGGAGGCTGATGTGGAAGAATCGCTTGAACCCAAGAGGCAGAGGTTGCAGTGAGCTGAGACTGTGCCACTGCACTCCAGCTTGGCGACAGAGCAAGACTCCGTCTCAAAAAAAAAAAATGCTTATATTTTCTTTTCTTTTTATTGAACTTCCTTTTGATATGTTTTGTCTAACACATTTGCAAATTGGGGAGTTAGTGTCAGTGGGGATATTTCCTCAGGTTTCTTCCCCAAGAAGTAGTCTGGGTCCTCATACCATGAAACTATCTTCTTCTTCTACAACATTTATTCCCTGCTTCAATTTTTTTTTTTTGTTGTTTTTTTTTTTGTTGTTGTTTTTTTTTGAGATGGAGTTTTGTTCTTGCTGCTCAGGCCAGAGTGCAATGGTGCTATCTTGGCTCACCACAGTCTCCGCCTCCCAGGTTCTCCTCCCTCAGCCTCCTGAGTAGCTGGGATTACAGGAATGTACTACCATTTTGTATTTTTAGTAGAGATGGGGTTTCACCATGTTGGCTTGGTTGGTCTCGAACTTCTGACCTCAGGTGGTCCACCTGCCTTGGCCTCCCAAAGTGCTGGGATTACAGGCATGAGCCACCACGTCCAGCCCAAATCCCAGTCATTTTAATTTTACTTTAGCCTTTTCCTCCTCTCTTTTGTTGTGTCTTCTCTTTTCATTTCTTCTTTGTCCTGCATCTCCTCTATGTAAGATTGTTCTTAATGTTTTTGACCATACCAGAGGTATCTAACATTATACCGTACAGAAACCTCTCTTTCTAGGGAGCAGCCCCAACTGAGTCAGTGGTTTGTGTAAGGGAAATACGTATCAATTTATACCACGATTCTATATTGTAACAGTGTATAGATGTGCATTATTAAAATGGAAGTTCCCCCTCCCCCTCCATTCACTACCAAATGGCCACTATTTAATCTTTTAAACACATCTAGTACCTGGGATGTAGAAAATGTCAGAAAAAACAAGCTGGTTAGTTCTTAACGTCAAATAAAAATAGAATCATTGTAAACTTTTTTTAAACCATTCAATCATCTATTGGTAATGTACCTTTTTCCTTGGTTCATTAGGTCAAATGCCTCACTGAGTTTGTCAAAAGGCAGGGTGTGGGTCACCAATTCATCCAGATTGAATTTCTTATTTTTATAGTCGGTGACCAGCTTTGGGATAGAATCACTTTTCCAACCTGTAATGTGGACAAAATGCAAAATAAGGACATGGCACTTGACACAAAGTAGTTTAATCAGCATTTGCTGAACAAATGAAATTATTATGTCAGATTTGGGTTGCTTCAAATAGATTAAACTCCTTCCATCTTTAATTTTCTGTACTTATGTCTATTTTTAAAATTTTCATTATAAGAAAAATTCAAGATTATTTTCTGCTCCAGATAAGAAATTACCTCAGTTAGGTCAGTGTTTACGTTTTGTTTCTTTATGTTGGTTCATTCAAATGCAAGTTAAATTTCAATTTGCAAATTAGTTACCTTTTTATATAATTTCTTTACTTATAAGTAATTAATAGTTTTTCTGTAGTCTTTGGATATGCTCTAGGCCAGGCATCCCCAAACTTTTTACACAGGGGGCCAGTTCACTGTCCCTCAGACCGATGTAGGGATGCCACATACTGTGCTCCTCTCACTGACCACCAGTGAAAGAGGTGCCCCTTCCTGAAGTGCAGCGGGGGGGCCGGATAAATGGCCTCAGGGGGCCGCATTTGGCCTGCGGGCCATAGTTTGGGGACACCTGCTCTAGGCACTCGATGTTCGAATAAATTATTTTTATTTCCTTTCAATAATCTTCACTCTAAGAATTTCAGTACCACTGTGAAGAAAATGTAAAGCAATGAAGAAAGAAAAACTCACCACCAAAGAATGTTCCATTTATAGTACGGCCGATTATTAGCTCCTCTGGAAAAATAGTCAATCCTTTGCTGCCAGCAGCTACCCCAATGAAAGTACATGTTCCCCAGCCTGCAATTGTACAGTCCAGGGCTGCTTTCTGTACGATCAAACAAAAAAGACTATTTCAGTCAGTGGAAAACTAGAATATAAACTCCAGCGTGGGAATGTACAATGCTTCAGAAAAAAATTAATCCAACTCTCCATGTAAGATAATGGGATTCAAGCTAATGACATCATAGTATCATTGTAGATTCAGCCTTGAAAGTCCAGTGTGCCATTACAGGTAGAATGTTCAGCACAGTCTCGGTGCAGGTGACTCATGTCTGTAATCCCAGAACTTTGGGAAGCCAAGGTGTGCAGATCACTTGAGGCCAGGAGTTCAAGACCAGCCTGGCCAACATGGTGAAACCCCATCTCTACTAAAAATATAAAAATTAGCTGGATGTGGTGGTGCCAGCCTGTAGTCTCAGCTACTTGATAAACTGAGGCTGGGGAATTGCCTGAATCCAGGAGGTGAAGGTTGCAGTGAGCTGAGATCATGCCACTGCACTCCAGCCTGGGTGACAGAGTGAGACTCTGTCTCCAAAAAAAAAAAAAAAAAAATTAGTAAAATAAAAATAAAGATGTCTCCAAAATCAGCATACATTTGTGTGTAAGTGAATAAGTTTTGTATTTGCCTCTGCTAAATGTTTAAAGTGTCAGGGTTTGGCACAAAGTTGTGAGACTATAAACCCAGCCAGAAACATAGTAATCTATGTTTGTGTGACTTTTTTTTTTTTTTTTTGACAAGACTAATTTAAAATTGTTAGGTCAATAACAGCAGCTAAATCACCTAATTTATCAGAAAAATACCTATGTATTTAACCTTAAAGTTCTCACTTAGGTTTTCACCTGATGTTCAGATTTTAAAAATAGTTAACAAGGATCAGGCATGATGGCTTGCACCTGTAATCCCACCACTTTGGGAGGCCAAGGTGGGTAGATGACTTGAGGTCAGGAGTTCAAGACCAACCTGGCTAACATGGTGAAACCCCGTCTTTAATAAAAATACAAAAACGTAGCCAGGGACCATGGCGTATGCTTGTAGTTCTAGCTACTCAGGAGGCTGAGGCAGGAAAATCGTTTGAGCCCAAGAGGCCGAGGTTGCAGTGAGCCAAGATTGTGCCACTGTGCTCCAGTGGGCGGCAGAGGGAGACTTAGTCTCAAAAAAAAAAAAAAGTTAACAAAGAAATAACTTTAAATAACGACTAGTTCTGCATAATATCTCAGTTTTCAAAAGTTATCTAGACAACTGTTAAAACTTAAAAGGTATATGCAAATGAAATAAATGCTTATAAGTGGACATTTTGTGTAATATAAAATCTGAAAATTACTTTAAATTAAATAATAAATGCTGGATGTCTGAGTCATTTCCGATTACAAAAATTATGATATAGGAAAACATATTTCTAAAATTGTGAAATGATTTCATATATAAAATGTTACATCTAACAGTTCAGGATTTCTTGCTTTCTAAGGTTCCATGAAAATTTAAGGTTACTAGGAATAAGAATGCTAATTCACATATAAATACATAATTGTATTCTCTCTTTTTTTTGAGGCAGTCTCACTCTGTTGTTCAGGCTAGAGTGCAGTGGGATGATCATGGCTCACTGCAGCCTCAACTGCCTGGGCTTAAGTGATTCTTCCACGTCACCCTCCCAAGTAGCTGGGACTACAGGCGTGTGCCATTGCACTTGCCTAATTTTTGTGCTTTTAGTAGAGGTGGGGTTTTGCCATGTTGCCCAGGCTGCTCTTGAACTCATGGGCTCAAACAGTCCGACCACCTCAGCTTCCCAAAGTGCTGGGATTACAGGCGTGAGCCACTGTGCCTGGCCTGTATTCTTATTAACAAATAATTTTATGTAATTTGTAGATTATTTTAAAGTTATTTATTCAAAAAAAATTTAAAAAACAGTTAGAGGAGAGAAATATAAGGAAAGTTAATCAATATAAAAATATATTTAATAAAAGTTACTAAAAAAGAATAATTTCATATAAAAAAGGATCTTATGGTAAAATCTTGCCCTAAAATAAAATGACTGATTATTTAAAAAAAATTAGAATAAGTCAAAAGCCCAAGCATGTCATAGTTGGTGTGTGTAAGTCATAATAAGGTGCATGAAGAAGAATTTCTTTAAAAAAATTTTGTATATGATTAAATTTGCTATAATTAAAAGAAGATTATTTAGAATAGTCTAAGATTATTTCCCTACATTAAAAGTCTCTTTACAGTATCCATTTGCTCTTAATAAAATTAAAAGAAATTTGACTTTTAATTTTATAATTTGTTTCTTTTGAAAACTTCTCACAATCATATGTCAGAAGTTCAACTTTTGCTATGTCTACCTGCTTTCAGCTTTGTTTCCCCTTGGACTGAGATAACTCTCTCCTTTAGCTTTTTTATTAGCTCTTGTAAGTTTTTTCCTCCAGTTCTTACTATTCTTATGGCCTGATACTAAAATGTTTTATCTTAAAGGTCTAGAAGTGAATATTTTCCTCTACAACTTGATTCTGTACTCTTGGCTTTTCTTCATATCTTTAAATTTTTCAGTGTAATCAGAAAATTTCTCATGCAGTTACTAAGAATTATGTATTCTCCTACTGTACACATAATTCTAAACACACCTTTCTCATGTCTGATTAAATTCTAGTACTTTTCCATCAGGTTTATTGAAATGGGCTTCCCATAAGGAAAAGCAGTCACACTGCAGGTGTTTCTTTCCCTTTCTGGTACTGACTTAAGAAACAACATTTTACATTTTATCAAAATAATTCTGATGTTGCCTTTATTAGGGTTTTAATTGCTTATAAAAACTGAGATCTAACAGGGCTAAGGTTTTTACATCCATATATCCTTATGTATTGCGTTTAAAGTCTTTTGATGATCTATTTGGCTAAATAAGTATTGTTTTACAATGACCTATGGTTCCATTTTAATCAAATGTTTTTACGTCTTTAACATTTTAAACAAACACTTTCAAAATTAAATTCTAAATTAAGTCTCTGACTTATTGCTGGGGCTTGTCAAAACTATAAAAATTAATCACTGCAAGGTTATAAAATCTTCCTACAGCTTTAAGTCAGGTCATAAACTCCAGCATCACTACCTCCAGCTCCTTAAAAGGTCCTTAGCAGGTGTTAGTAAATAATCCTTGTGCTGGTAAGTTACAGGGTGTTGACCCTTGGTTTAGAGGGTTAGAGGTCATTGAAATCAAGTTGATACCCATGACTGAAATCTGCTCTGTAACCTAGGAACATAGCTTTTCCTAGTTGTAGAAACTTTTGGTGGGAGGGTAGGTAACTCATCTTTTGGCGATTAAATAAATCCTTCCCTTTCCATTTGGATTCTCTAATATAAATCTGTTCCATAATTGCAAATACCTTTCATGGTATAGTAAGTCAGTTTAATAATAGAATATGCTAACTTTTAAGTTAGTGGTTTTCAACTTGAGAAATTAATTTTAAAGATGTTGTCAGTGGGCGCCCAGCACACAAGTATATCCTGGGTATGGCCCATTTGTTGGTATTATAAAAACAGTGAAACAACAACCAACCCCTCAGGAAATTCTAGCATATAGCTAGTGTTGAGAATCTCTGTACAAGAAAAATAAGGTTAATAGGCCAAATTTTAGAGTTTGTAAAAAAAAAGAGTCATGGGAAGTGGAGTGATGGATGCGGCATGCTGCAGACTGCAGGTACCAATGTCAATTCAAAAGCAGGGCCTGAGGCCTTGAACACAGGTGAGCAGTGCCAGATATGGAGCCCTTAATGCATGCATTTTCGATAATATCTAATGTTCATTGTGTGCTTAGTACCTGCAAGATACTGTTTTAAGCAGTTTGCATATATTATAATGAGACCGTTCAGAGAAGAATGACTGAGGAACTGCAGCCTGTGGCTCTCACCATAGGTCTTCCTGGGTTTTATTCTTTTATGGGGAATACACTAGTCATGTAAGAACCAAGGGGGAAGAACCAGCACAAAACTTACTTCTGGGAAGTATAGAATTTTATGCTTTATATATTGCCTAGAAGGGCTTGGGAGCTAGGCTGAGTGAAGGTGCACGTAAAAGAAATAACATCACAAGTACTTAATGGCACTCACTAATGAAATAAGAAGAATCTATAGGCAGATAATTCAGTTGATGAATTCTTTGGTCATTTCATTAAAAACAAAAGCAAACAAACAAAAAACAAAACTCCCAAACTCTACTTAGTGTCTTTGAGTAAATACACATTAGGTAATTATTTGCTGATACTCTGAAGAATAAGGCTGGACACTCCAGCAAGGTGACTTTTCAGTATACTGCCTGTATGTTGTGGTTGGCTCTTTATTCCACTTTTTGGAGTGGAATAGACAGGCCAGCTTCATAGTGTGCAACCAGTGCAGTCACTGAGTGCTCTGTAGCCTGTCCTGAGTTGAGAATACAGCTGAATGATACAACATTGTAGTGTTCAGGGAAAAAAAAGATGATTTAAATTTTGTGGTGTGTTATTTTTTGAAATATAGAAAATTTCAAACGTATAATTTGGACCTAATTTTGCAGCCTATTTATTGAGCTGCGATGGACAGAGCTGGGTTGTTTGCAGGTTGCTAGCCTCTCCCTGTTCTACTTTAATATGGGAGCATATGTGTTGTAGCTGTTAAGAAGCACCAGTCACCTCTTTTATTTCTTCCTCTGAATCTGCCTTTTCTATTTTTTTTCTGTGGGGGTAGGGCTCACTTCTCATTAAGCACAATTATTTTAAAATGTTCATTTATAAGTTTTCTCTTTATTTTTTGCTGAATTTCACATAGAATAATAAACAAATATTAATAACATTGATATTAAGGACTAATAGAAATAGTTATACATTAATAAACATTACTTTAAATTGATTATTATATAATGTATAAGTATTAACAAATATTGATTATCATCTATAAATGTGTTAATATTAAATGTCAATACATGCAAATATTGTTTATTAATTTTAAATATATACTGTTATGTAAAATGTATATGACATTATTAACAAATATTAATATTAATAATGTATATAATGTATAAGATAGCTAAGCAAAACAGGTGTTTTTTCCTATTTATGCTAACTTTTGTTTAGAAAAAGTTTTATTTATTGCAATTGGTTAATTCATCCCTTTATATCTTTTGCTAAAGTATGCTGTCACTTAGTTAATGCACTTGGCATTTTATCTGATTTAAAAGTCAAAAGGAACATTTCTCTAGTTAATTAAAAATGAAGAAACCCCAAAAATTGTCTCCAAGAAACAGATATTGGAATTATCATGGAAAACAAAATTAGAAAATATTATCTCCAGACAAGTAATATTGAGCTTTTAAAAGGGATCTCAAAAGAAAAATCAACATTTATAAATAATGCTGGTATGTCTTCTTATCACAAGAGAAGACTGAACTCACCAAGATATTACTGGCATCTGGGAGTACACAGTCATGAGCAATGAAGGAAATGGAGTATAGCTGAGGGAGTGGGAAATGATTGGTGGCTTACAGTTTTCCTCCCCTGTCATCAATTTGAAAATATTAAGAAGGAATGATTATAGTTACCATAATAAACATAACCACTTTCCCCTATTATTTTATGGTCAAAGAATAAATTGAAAATATGATCCAAGAAAAAAATATGCATACCATGGTTTCAGATCCACCAGCACAGTCAAGGGCAAAATCCACACCTCCCTTGGTCAATTCAATGATAACCTCCTGGACGGGTTTATGTAGGTCTCTAGGATTGAGGCATTCAGTGGCTCCCAGGGCTTTAGCCTTTGCAAACTTCTCACTGTTGATGTCAACACCTATGATCCTGGAAGCTCCTGCCATTTTACAACCAATTACAGCAGAAAGACCCACGCCTCCTAGGCCAAAGACAGCACAAGTCGAGCCAGGGGTGACCTGCAAGCAGGAAAATTATAAAGTAACTTCTAAAGCAGCTGAACCCACTTTTTTTCTTTTAAGGGGCAGGAGGAAGTAAGAACATGAACATAAGAATTAAAGACTGCCTGCTATTAAACTCTATGATATAGCCAATGGAGGAAATCTGCCACTGTGAAAATGGATGCATTACTACCTAAATTTGGAGAATAACTTAATGTTCATTAAGACTATCCACTCATAAGAAACAAACCAAAGTAAAAATAATTTCCTTGTTTTACCTTTTCCCTTCAGTGTTATCAGAACAAAATTTGAAAACCCACACATTCTGAAGGGTTTATTGCTTTCCTTTTAAAATTGAATCACTAGTAATTTGACATATATATTTCTAATAAGACCTCATTTGGTTGTATTCATATTGCAGTGATTTACTTGATCATACCAAGTCACCAATTCATTTCAATGAAATGAAGTCCAATTTTTTTTTTTTTTTTGCATGGCATTGAAGGATTTTTATTGTCTGACCTCTGTTTAGCTCCCCGCTTCATCGCCATGATATTCCCAGTACAACTGCGAACAGATTGTTGCACTTTCTTCTCCTCATGCTGTAGTTGATGCTGTTCCCTCAGACTGATGTACTTTTCACCTAATTTTCTTTAATTAAAATATAACCTCTACTTCTAGGCCTGACTTCAAGGACATTTTATGAAACATTTTTGATTCTTCAGTCAGAAATCAATGCTTATCTTTTCACTTTTCCTGTATCATATAATTTATAACCTGCCTTGATTATGTGTATATGTATGTTTCTTTAAAAGACTGTAAATTTTATGAAGGCAGAGACTTTTTTTTTTTTTTTTTTTTTTTGAGATGGCGTCTTCTCTGTCAGCCAGGCCCAAATGCAGTGGTGCGATCTCGCCTCACTGCAACTTCCGCCTCCTGGGTTCAAGCAATTCTCTACTTCAGCCTCCTGAGTAGCTGGGATTACAGGCATCCACCACCACGCCAGGCTACTTTTTGTATTTTTATTAGAGACGGGGTTTCACCATCTTGGCTGGGCTGGTCTTAAACTCCTGACCTCGCAATCTACCCACCTTGGCCTCCCAAACTGTTGGGATTACAGGCGTGAGTCACTGTGCCTGGCTGGCAGAGACTTTTTAAGTTCCACATTATTATCAAAGAGTCTTCTGTATGTTGAGTCTTTTATAAATATTTGTTTCATTGAATTAAATGGAAATAATAGATAAGATGATAAGAAAAGATGCTGTAACTAGAATATGCTGTTCTGCAGAGTAGTATAGAGATAGAAAAATACTATATACATGGTATTTTCTAATGAGGTTGCATACCCATGTTCAATGAAGCATTATTCACAATAGCCAAGATATGGAATCCATCCAAGGGTCCACAAATGATGAATAGATAAGAAAAATATGGTATATATTATATACACAATGCAGTACTAGTTAGGCTTTAAAAAAGAAGAAAATCCTGTCATGGTGAAAACATGGATGAACCTGGAGGACATTATGTCAGGTGAAATAAGCCAGGTACAGAAAGCCAGATACTGCATGATCTCAGTTATATGTGGAATCTAAAAAAGACAGACTCACAGAAGCAGAGACTAAGATGGTGGTTACCAGAGTCTGCAGGAAGAGGGATAAATGAGGAATGCGATGATGTTGGTTAAAGGATATAAAGTTTCAGTTAGACAGGAGGAATAATTTCCGGGATTCCATTGTACCCAATGGTGACTATAATAGCAATGTATATCAATCTGGAAATTGCTGAGAGAGTAGATTTTTAATGGTCTCACCACAAAAAGGTAAGTATATCAAGTGATGGATACATTATTAGCTTGATTTAATTATTCTACAATGTATACATATATCAAAACATCACATTGTACTTCATAAATATATAATTTTTTTCAACTAATAAGTAATTAAGAAAGAAAGCTGTAGCTGAATCTCTAGTGGTAATAGCTCTTAAAAGGACTGGAGTAGTAAAAGAGGGTGGACCGCATGGAGACCCACAAAGGAAGACCTGAAGAGTGATTCTTCTTCCCCAAGTCTCCAGCGCTTTACAGCAGAAAACAGGCTTTGACAGACACATGCGCATCTGCTATCAACTTCACCCTGCTGCCAGTACCCTTCTTTGAAAGCCTCCAGATTGTAGTTTGGTTTCTAATACAATTTTTAAAATTTTAAATTAATGAGTAATTGTATGCATGAATACAGTTTTAAAGAGAGATAACATGCTGATAGCGAAGAGTAGCATTTTTGTCTATGTGCCAGATAAAATTCTGAATGAAGACTCATACTCTGGTATCTTGGCTACTAGATCAACCTGTTATTGTGGTGAGACTGACTTTGTTTCCTTGACACTTCACAACTCCAGGTAACCCAATAAAAAGGACTTCTCTGGATTACAAAGCTGAGGACAAGGCCTCACTAGGATGTTTTAAGGGTTTCACATGCACCTGGTTTTATTTATTCATTCATTGAAAAATTATCAAGCTCCTATTATGTGCCAGGCACAATTCCAGGCTCTGGAGCTATCACAGTGAACAACAGAGAGTTCTTCCCCTTAAGGAACAAATAGTATAACAGGACAAAAAAAAAAAAAGGGAGATTTCTCTATAGTGTGATAAGAATGAAGACAGAGAGTGGTGGTGGCTCGCGCCTGTAATCCCAGCACTTTGGGAGGTTGAGGGGAGGGCTGCTTGAGCCTGGGAGTTCAAGACCTGGGCAACATAGAGAGACCCTGTCTCTATAAAAAATTTCAAAAATAGCCAGGCATGGTGGTGCATGCCTGTAATCTCAGCTATTTGGAGGGCTGAAGTGGGAAGTTTGCTTGAGCCCAGGCGTTCAAAGCTGCAGTGAGCCAGGATCACGCCAGTGCACTCCAGCATGGGGAACAGAGTGAGTCCCGTCTCAAAAAAGAAAAAAAAAATGTTTGGGAAAACTGAGGAACACTCAAAGCATGCCTGAGAGCCCGAAGCAGATCTCTGAGAGGAAGTGATAATCTAATTGGAGTCAGCCTGAAGGAGGTAGGGGAGTCTTCTCTGCACTGTTGCTGGAAGCCAAGTGTGGAAAGCCCGGAGACTACAGTGACGGAAGCATGGAGACTCAGTGGAGGCAAGGGAACAGTGCGCGGTGGAAAGGGAGAAGTAGGAAGTCACCATAGGCTACTGTGGAATTTGACTTCACCCTGAGGGGAAAATGAAAGAATGAAGGAAAAATGAAATCTTCAGACTTGTTGTTTGAAAGGCCACTCTGCCTCCATTTTGCAGTTTTGAGTCAGGAATAAAGATTAATGTCAGGGAGGTTCAAATAAGGAGGTTGTTTGAGATGTCCAGTTGTGAGATCCCTCTTTGATATCTCTCTAGTTCTAGCTTAGATGGTTTGTAAGAGTTTCTAAATTTTAACATAGGATTCTAAGGACACATCTGGTCAACATCAGGGCTGCTACCAGAGACCCTCCTTTGAAGCCACAAAGGGACAGGATGGGAAGCAGAAATGAATTACTACTGATTGAGGGGGAGAAATCTATAGCATCAGGGAGAAGACAGTGGTTGTGTGAAGATGAAAATGAGTTTCTGTCATTTTTGTTGCCCTTTGACTGAGTCAGCTGTCCTAGGATGAGCATTCATCTTTAGGAGATGTATTTAAACAGGCTGTATTTAAATCAGGGATGATCTATAACCTAACATGTTAGTATAGCATAAGAACATACGCTGGGAGCCAATTATATGCAGGCTACTGGGCCATATGTTTTACTTATATAATATGATTCTATTATCCTCATAAGTATTTGTAGTAGATTATCCTAGAGGCATTAAATAACTAGCCTAAAATCACAGAGGTAATATATGACACAGCCAATGTTTGAAGATAACTAACTCTAGTTCATCTGTATCCTACCTCCTAGTAACTGCTGTTTTTCACAAACTGTTTTACTATTTACCTTGGCATTGTTGATTGCAGCCCCATAGCCAGTTGAAAAACCACATCCAAGAAGACAAACTCTCTCTAAATTTGCATCATCATCTATTTTGACAAGATTAATATCTGACACCACAGTGTACTGAGAGAATGTACTGACTCCCAAGAAATGATAAACTGGTTTTCCTTTGCAGGTAAACCTGCTGGTTTTGTCTTCCATTAGTTGTTGATCTGTAGCAGGACTTTTAAGATTACTAGAAAATTTTAAAAAGAGAGATATCAAAAAAGAGAAAGTATAATAAATGGAACACTGATCATTTTCCTACAAAATATATTGAGCACTATATATTTGTCATGACAATTTACAAGACAGAAAAATTAGGGGAACAACAAGACTTTTCACAAAATATAATTTCTTGGAAGTATTTTAAAGGTAACAACAATTGTTTTTGTAAAGTGACAGGGTCTCATTTTGTCACTCAGACTGGAGTTCAGGGAACAAACTTTTATTGAATGTTTTTTTGTGTTCCAGAAAAGATTTTAAGGGCTGTATGTGTATTAACTTTAAAATTTTTTTTATTATGGAACATTTGAACATGTATAAAAGTAGAAGGAATATCATAAAAAAAAAACCCTGTGTATCCATGCCCCAGCTCCAGTAACCATCAACTCATGGTCAATCAAGTTTCATCTATTATTCCTCCACAATACCTGCTCCCTCCCCAACATTGGAATATTTTGAAGCAAATCCCAGATACCACTATTTCATCTGTAGATACATTAGCATGTCTCTCTAAAGGATTCTTTTAGGTTTACGTATTTGTTGTCTCTTAAATTATAGATCTCTTCTCTCTCTCTTTTTCCTCTTGCAGTTTATTTGTTGAAGAAATTGAATTGTTTGTCCTCATTCTGGATTTTGATCATCACATTCCTGTAATCTGGTTGAACATATTTCTCTGTCCCTGTGTCCCCTCTTAAATTAGTAAATTTGGTCTAAACACTTGATCTGATTCAGGTTTTATATTTTTGTGGTAATACTATATTATCGGTGGTAGTGTATATTTCATTTGGAATATCTAATTATCCCTCTTTTATGACATTTATTAGAAAGAATTTATGGCCATTGTCTAAATCTATTATTTCATTAAAGCTTTGCAAAAAAAAATGTTAGTTCTTTGACTACCCAGAACAAATCTATGAAGCAGGCATTATTTTGATCCTCATATATGAAAGAATTAAGGCATCTTACAGTAATAGATGTAAGAGTAGTACAGTTTTAGCTTCTTAAGTAACTGCTTTCAATTAGTGTTAAGGACAAAAGGATCCTTCTGTAGTCTCAGTAAAGTAATGACAAGATGATTTAGATTTTAGATTCTGGAGCTATACTGCCTGGGTTAAAAACCTGGCTCTAAGACTTATAACTATGTGGCCTTGGACTAAATTACTTTACTGTGCCTTATTGCATCCCTCTCTCATCCCTATAGAAGTAGTTATTATTCTGAATTTGGCATTTAGTATTTCAGTAATTTATTTATACTTTTACTACATACACGTATAACCATTAAAAAAAGTATTTTTTTATGACATCTTACAACTTGCTTCAGCAACTTGCTTCTTTTCCTTAACATTATGTGTGTGAGATTGTTTTATGTTAATACATGTAGCTCAAGTTTAGCCATTTTCATTTTTGTATAGTGGTCCATTGAGCTACGACATAGCAGTTTTAAAATTCATTCTCTTATGATGGACATTTGTTCTGTTTTAAATTGCTTACTATAATAAACAATGTTGCAATGAACATTCTAGCATGTTTCTTTGTGTGCACTTGCAATAGTATCTTGTACACACCTAGGATTAGAATTAGTGGGTGGAAGGTTTGCACCTCTTCAAGGCCATTAAGGTAATGTCAGTGTCCTTTCCAAAATATTCGTTTGCATTTATATTAACTGTGTAGACTGCTTACCTGATTTTTCCACAAAGATTTGTGAGTGGACTCAGACAAAACTTGCATTTTCTACATCGAGGTGCATAAAGTGGAATTACTTTGTCACCTAGAAAGAAAGGCCATATGTTGGATGGTGCCTAAGATGTTACTTACAACTTCTACCAGATAATTCAATGGAAAACACATTTTCTTTATAGTATACATTTTATATTCAGCAGAAAATATAGGTGGCTATATTTCATTACCTTACAAGACTGCAGATTCCCCCAAGGATTGCATTTATTGTATTTTTTTTTTTACTCTGCTGGGCAGTCAAGCAACAAATCTGTGTTGATATCATCAGACACAGAACTCTGGGACTTTGCTGTCATTGCAACTCTCTACATCATGACTATTGTTTATTGCATTTCCAAACATTGCATATGAAACATAACATCCTTATGTAATAAAATAAGAGAACAATTATAGGCTAGGTATAAACTTTGTATCATTACCATATTTCACCATTTGGATTCACTCTCAAAGTCCACGTTTTTCCACTTTTTACTAAATTCCAATTTAATAGTGGCTTCTTTCATGCCTGAGGTCTAATGATGTTAATTCACATTTGTTCAACATTTAATACATACCACACACCATTATAACTATTTGTATGTATTATTTCAGAACTTAATCCTCAGAAGAACTCTTTGAGATGAGGCCTATTTTTACTCACACTATAGAAAACAGAAATCTGAACTGAATCACAGAAAAGTGACATAACTGGCCAAGATCACATAACCGGTAAGTAACAGAACTGGAACTAAGGGGATTATATTGGCCAGATTCCTTCATTGACACAAAATTTTGGGAAGCATTTTTTTTGTGCAATCTTTTTTGGAATGGAAAGATACTAATATACCTCTAAGTTTGGAGCATTCTCATTAAAAGAGAAAAGACTGGCATCGTTCATCTGGCCTGACAAATGAGGATTACATAGCCCATATTCCAGTATCTGGAGGACCTGTTGTAAAATACGGAGTAAATAATTTCAGCTATTAGGGTGCTTCATTTAGGTATTAGTTTTATCTTGCAAACTTCCAAAAAGACACTTCAGCTAACATTGGCATATGTATTTCTCAATTAAGCTACCTTTAAGTCCTCATTCTTTAGTTTGCTGTTAATAATAAAATAGTTTACTGTTTTATATAGAAGTTGTTATAACATGTCATTAAAAACCTTTTATTTTATAGAAGATGCAGTGGCTCATACTTGTAATCCCAGTGCTTTGGGAGGCCAAATGGGGCAGCCAATATGGTGAAACTCTGTCTCTACTAAAAATACAAAAATTAACTGGGTGTGGTGGCTCACAGCTGTAATCCCAGCTACTACAGAGGCTAAGGCACAAGTATCCCATGAATTCAGGTGGTGGAGTTCAAGACTGTGCCACAGCACTCCAGCCTGGGCAACAGAGTGAGACTCTGTCTCAAATAATAATAATAATAAAAAGGCCTGGCACAGTAGCTCACACCTGTAATCCCAGCATTTTGGGAGGCCAAGGTGGGTGTATCACTGGAGGTCAGGAGTTCAAGACGAGCTTGGCCAACATGGTAAAACCCTATCTCTTCTAAAATAACAAAAGCCAGGTGTGGTGGCGTGTGCCTGTAGTTCCAGCTACTTGGGAGGCTGAGGCAGGAGAATTGCTTGAAACCAGAAGATGGAGGTTGCAGTGAGCTGAGATTGTGCCATTGCACTCCAGCCTGGGTGACAGAACAAGACTTTGTCTTTTTTATTTCTTTTTTCTTTTTCTGTCTGATGAAACCCAAGAGACGTTGTCCTAAGAGAAACAACACCGATTCAAGATCCAAGATGGCCAAATAGGAACAGCTCTGGAGTGCAGTTCCCAGTGAGAACAGTGCAGCGGGTGAGTGGTCACCGCATTTCCAAACAAGTTTTTACTGCCCACAGACCAGGAGATTCCCAGGCCAAAACACACCATGAGTTTTCAGTGTGGCAGTTTCAACTGGTGCCTAGCCAGCACACAGAAACTCACACAGGTCCTGGTGGTCATTTTGACTGGTGCCTGGAATGCCTGGGAGAGACAGCCATCCATTCAACTGAAAGGGAAGGGGTGGAGACAGGAAGCCAGGCAATCTGGCTCAGCAGGTACCACCCCTACAAAACAAGTAATCTGAAACACTGGATTGAGAGTCTAGCAGCAAGCTCAGCTGGACCCAGGACAGTCTAGCTCAGTAAAGGGAAGGCCAACCACCACTACCAAGGCAGTTCACACAGCAGCTGGGCAGAGCCTCAGGCAGCTCAGCAACACCTCTACTGACACACTGTGATTAGATTACTCCATGCAGGGCAGGGTATCTATGAAAAAAATGCAGCACCATGACAGAAATGTATAAATAAAGCCAACTTTCCTAGGACAGAGCACCTGGGAAAATAAGTGGTAATGAGTTCAGTGCAGCAAACTTAAAGGTACCTGCCCGGCAGCTCTGCATGAAACAACAGAGCTCCCAGCACAGCACTTGAGCTCCTATAAGGGACAGACTGTCTCCTCAAGTAGCTCCCTAACCTGCATATACCCAAAGAGACACCTCATAAAGGAGAGCTCAGGCTGACAACTGGGGTGTGTGTGTGTGTGTGTGTGTGTGTGTACCCTTCTGGAATGAGTGTAAGAGGAAGAAACCAGCAGTAACCTGCTGTTCTGCAGCTCCTGTAGGTGATCCCCAGGTGAGCAGGGTCCAAAGTGGATGTCCAGCACTCCTGCAGCAGAGGGGCCTGACTGTTAGAAGGAAAGCTAAGAAGCAGAAAGAAATAGCTTCAACATCAACAAAAAGGATGTCCATGAAGAGACCCCATCTGAAAGTCACCAACTACAAAGACCACAGGTAGATAAAGCCGCTAAGATGGGAAGAAACCAGTGCAAAAATGATGAAAACATCAAAAACCAGAACACCTCTCCTCCTCAAAGGGATAACAATTCCTCACCAGCTAGGGATCAAAGATGGATGGAGAATGAATCTGATGAATTGACAGAAACAGACTTCAGAAGGTGGGTAATAACAAACTTCTCAGAGCTAAAAGAACATGTGCTAACCCAATTCAAAGAAACTAAGAACCTAGAAAAAAGGTTAGATGAGATGCTAACTAGAATAAACAGCTTAGAGAAGAATGTAAACAACTCAATGGAGCTGAAAAACACAGCACAAGAACTTCGTGAAGCATACACAAGTTTCAATAGCCAAATGGACCAAGCAGAAGAAAGGATATCAGAGATTGAAGATCAACTCAATGAAATAAAATGAGAAGGCAGGAACAGAGAAAACAGAGTGAAAAGAAATAAACGAAGCCTCTAAGAAATACAGGATTATGTGAAAAGACCTAATCTACATTTGATAGGTGTATGTGAATGTGACAGAGAGAACGAATGCGAGCTGGAAAACACTCTTCAGGATATTATCCAGGAGAACTTCCCCAACCTACCAAGGCAGGGCAACATTCGAGTCCAAGAAATACAGAGAACATCACAAAGATATTCCTCAAGAAGAGCAATCCCAAGGCAATCCTTTATGGTCAAGCAATTGCTGAGAGACTTTGTCACCACTAGGCCTGCCTTACAAGAGCTCCTGAAAGCAGCACTAAACAAGGAAAGGAAAAACCAGTACCAGCTACTTCAAAAACATACCAAATGGTAAAGATCATCAACAAAATGAAGAAAATGTGTCAATGCCCTAATCAAAAGACATGGACTGGCAAATTGGATAAAAAGTCAAAAATTATTGGTGTGCTGTATTCAGGAAACACATCTCACGTGCAAGGACACAAATAAGCTCAAAATAAAGTGATGGAGGAAGATTTATCAAGCAAATGGAGAGAAAAAAAAACAAAGCAGGAGTTGCAATCCTAGTCTCTGATAAAATAGACTTTAAACCAACAAAGATCAGAAGAGACAAAGAAGGGCATTATATAATGGTAAAAGGATCAATGCATCAAGAAGAACTAACGATCCTAAATATATACAGTGCCCAATACAGGAGCACCCAGGTACATAAAGCAAGCTCTTAATGACCTACAAAGAGATGTAGACTCCCACACAATAATAGTGGGAGACTCTAACACTCCGCTGTCAATATTAGACAGATCAACAAGACAGAAAATTAACAAGGATATCGAGGACTTGAACTCAGATCTGGACCAAGTGGACCTAATAGACATCACAGAAATCTCCACCCCAAACCCACAGAATATACATTCTTCTCAGCACCACATGGCACCTACTCTAAAATTGACCACACAATTGGAAGGAAAGCACCCCTCAGCAAATGGAAAAGAATAGAAATCATAACAAACAGTCTCTCAGACCACAGGGCAATCAAATTAGAACTCAGAATTAAGAAACTGACTCAGAACCGCACAACTTCATGGAAACTGAACAACTGACTCCTGAATGTTGACTGGATAAACAACGAAATGAAGGTAGAAATAAAGATGTTATTTGAAACCAGTGAGAATGAAGACACAACGTACCAGAATCTCTGGGACACATTTAAAGCAGTGTCTAGAGGGAAATTTATAGCAATAAATGCCCACATTAGAAGGGAGGAAAGATCTAAAATCAACACCCTATCATCAAAATTGAAAGAGCTAGAGGAGCAAGATAAAAAAACTCAAAAGCTAGAAGACAAGAAATAACTAAGATCAGAGCAAAACTGAAGGAAACAGAGACACAAAAAACCCTTCAAAAATAAATAAATACAGGAGCTGGTTTTTGGAAAGATCAACAAAATAGATCACTATCCAGATTAATAAAAATGAAAAGGGAGAAGAATCAAATAGATGCAATAAAAAACGATAAAGGGGATATCACCACTTAATCCACAAATTACAATCAGAGATTACTGCAAACAACTCTAAGCACACAAACCAATAAAGCTGGAAGAAATGGATAAATTCCTGGACACTTGCACCCTCCCGAGCCTAAACCAGGAAGAAGTTGAAACCTTGAATAGACCAATAACAAGGGCTGAAGATGAGGCAGCAATTAATAGCCTACCCACCAAAAGAAGTCCAGGTTCAGACGGTTTCACAGCTGAATTCCACCAGACATACAAAGAGGAGTTGGTACCATTCCTTCTGAAACTATTCCAAACAATACAGAAAGAGGGAATCCTTCCCAAATCATTTTATGAGACCAACATCATCTTGATACCAAAACCTGGCAGAGACTCAACAAGAAAAGAAAACTTTACGCCAATATCCATGATGAACATAGATGCAAAAATCTTCAATAAAATACTGGGAAACTGATTGCAACAGCACATCAAGAAGCTTATTCATCACAATCACGTAGTCTTCATGCCAGGGATGCAAGGCTGGTTCAACATATGCAAGTCTATAAATGTTATCTACCACATAAACAGAAATAAAGACAAAAACCACATGATTATCTCAAAAGATGCAGAGAAGGCCTTCACCAAAATTCAACAGCCCTTTATTCTAAAAATTCTCAATAAACTAGGTATTGTAGGAACATATCTCAAAATAATAAAAGCTATTTATGACAAACCTACAGCCGATATCATACTGACTGGGCAAAAACTGGAAGCATTTCCTTTGAAATCTGGCACTAGACAAGGGTGCCCTCTCTCACCACTCCTATTCAATATAGTATTGGAAGTTCTGGCCAGAGCAATTAGGCAAGGAAAAAATATAATAAAATAAAGTGTATTCAATCAGGAAAAGAGGAAGTCAAATTGTCTCTATTTGCAGATGACATGATTGTATATTTATAAGACCCTATCATCTTGGCCCAAAATCTCCTTAAACTGATAAGCAACTTAAGCAAAGTCTCAGGATACAAAATCAATGTGCAAAAATAACAAGCATTTTTATACACCAATAACAAACTAACAGAGAGCCAGATCACGAGCAAACTCCCATTCACAATTGCTACAAACAGAATAAAATACCTAGGAATACAACTAACAAAGGATGTAAAGGACCTCTTCAAGGAGATCTACAAACCACTGCTCAAGGAAAAAAGAGAGGACGCAAACAGATGGAGAAACATTCCATGCTCATGCTTAGGAAGAGTCAATATTGTGAAAATGGCCATGCTGCCTAAAGTAATTTATAGATGCAACACTATCACCATCAAGCAACCAATGACCTTATTCACAGAACTGGAAAAAACCACCTTAAACTTCATATGAAACCAAAGGAGAGCTCTCATAGCCAAGAAAATCCTAAGCAAAAAAACAAAGCCAGAGGCATCACACTACCTGATTTCAAACTATACTACAAGCTTACAAGCTACAGTAATCAAAACAGCAGGGTACTGGTACCAAAACAGAGATATAGAACAATGGAACAGAACAGAGGCCTCGGAGCCAACACCACACATCTACAACCACCTGATCTTTGACAAACCTGACAAAAAAAAGCAATGAGAAAAGGATTCCCTGTTTAATAAGTGGTGTTGGGAAAACTGGCTACCCATGTGCAGAAAGCAGAAACTGGACCCCTTCCTGACACCTTACACTAAAATTAACTCCAGATGGATTAAAGACTTAAACAGAAGACCTAACACCACAAAAACCCTCGAAGAAAACCTAGGCCAAACCATTCAGGACATAGGCATAGGCAAGGACTTCATGACTAAAACACCAAAAGCATTGACAACAAAAGCCAAAATAGACAAATGGGAACTAATTAAACTCCAGAGCTTCTGCACAGCAAAAGAAATATTCATTAGAGTAAATTGGCAACCAATATAATGGGAAAAAATTTTGGCAATCTACCCATTTGACAAAGGACTTTTATCTAGAATCTACAAAGAACTAAAACAGATTTATAAGAAAAAAACAAACAAACCCATTCAAAAGTGGGTGAAGGATATGAACAGACACTTCAAAAGAAGTCATATATGAGGCCAACAAACATATGAAAAAATGCTCATCATCCCTGGTCATTAGAGAAATGCAAATCAAAACTACATTGAGATACCATCTCACACCAGTTAGAATGGTGATCATTATAAAATCTGGAGACAACAGATGCTGGAGTGGATGTGGAGAAATAAGGACACTTTTACACTGTTGATGGGAGTGTAAATTAGTTCAACCATTGTGGAAGACAGTGTGGTGGTTCCTCAAGGACCTAGAAATAGAAATTTCATTTGACCCAGCAATTCAATTACTGGGTATATAGCCAAAGGATTATAAATCGTTCTACTATAAGGACACATGCACACGAATGTTCATTGCAGCGCTGTTTATAATAGGAAAGACTTGGAACCAACTGAAATGCCCATTGATAATAGACTGGACAGGGAAAATGTGGCATATATACACCATGGAATACTATGCAGCCATAAAAAATGATGAGTTTATGTCCTTTGTAGTGACATGGATGAATCTGGAAAGCATCATTCTCAGCAAACTGACACAAGAACAGAAAATCAAACACTGCATGTTCTCACTCATAGACAGGTGTTGAACAATGAGAACACGTGGACACGGGGCGGGCATGCATCACACACTGAGGTCTGTGGGAGGGGACTAGGAGAGGGACAGTGGAGGGTAGGGAGTTGGAGAGGGATAACTTGGGGAGAAATGCCTGATATAGGTGATGGGGATGAAGGCAGCGAACCACATTGCCATGTATGTACCTATGCAACAATCCTGCATGTTCTTCACATTTACCCCAGAACCTAAAGTGCAATTATATATATATATATATACACCAAAAAAAAAAGAATGGCGATCATTAAAAAATCTGGAGACAACAGATGCTGGAGAGGATGTTGAGAAATAGGAACACTTTTACACTGTTGGTGGGAGTGTAAACTAGTTCAACCATTGTGGAAGGCAGTGTGGCGCTTCCTCAAGGACCTAGAAAGAGAAATTTCATTTGACCCAGCAATCTCATTACTGGGTATATACCCAAAGGATTATAAGTCGTTCTATTATAAAGACACATGCATACATATGTTCATAGTGGCACTGTTTACAATAGCAAAGACCTCGAACCAACCCAAATACCCATCAACGATAGACTGGAGAAGGAAAATGTGGCACATATATACCATAGAATACTATGCAGCCACAAAAAACAATGAGTTTGTGTCCTTTGTAGGGACAGGGATAAATCTGGAAACCATAATTCTTAGCAAACTGACACAGGAACAGAAAATCAAACACTGCATGTTCTCACTCATAGGTGGGTGTTGAATAGTGAGAACACGTGGACACAGGGAGGGGAGCATCACATCCTGGGGTTTGTTTCGGGAGGCCAAGGGAGGGACAGCGGGGAGTGGGGTGGGGAGGTCGGGGAAGGATAACATGGGGAAAAATGCCAGATGTAGGTGAGGGGGAGGGAGGCAGCAAACCACATTGCCATATGTGTACCTATGCAACAATCCTGCATGATCTGCACATGTCCCCCAGAACCTAAAGTACAATTTAAAAAAATATACCTTTAATTTTATAATTAGGGGTATATGTGCAGGTTTGTTATATAGGTATACTTGTGTCACGGGGGTTTGGTGTACAGATAATTTTGTCATCCGGGTACTAAGCATATTACCTGACAGTTATTTTTCTGAGCCTCTCCTTCCCTCCATCCTTCATCCTTAAGTAGGTCCCAGTGTCTGTCATTGCCCTATTTGTGTCCATGTTTTCTCATTATTTAGCTCCCACTTATAAGTGAGAACATTCAGTATTTGGCTTTCTGTTCCTGAAATAGTTTGCTAAGGCAAATGGCTGACAGCTTCATCCATATTTCTGCAAAGGACATGGTCTCGTTCTTTTATAAAGTGTCATTTGTTAAACATGAAAGTTTTAGTTTAAGCTAACCTTGTAACTTTGCTTCAGAGGACAATTTCTCAGCGCTATATGTAAACAAACTGACATGTTTCCCAGATTTTATTAGACAGTTCTGATTTCAAATATTCTGTCCCGCTGCTAGACTGTGATAGATTGTGTGTCTCAGTTTTACTTTGGAAAAGATGGTCCCCCTTTGTAAATAGAGATCATTTATATCATTCCAAGCCAGGACTCTATCAAGAATTATGTCTGAAATACTGTGATGTTTATATTTTATCTGAATAAAATAAAATACCTGGTTTGAAGTTGGTCACTTCTGGCCCAATACTTTCCACAATCCCTGCAGCCTCATGGCCAACGATCACGGGGAAGGATAGGCCCTCAAATTTAGAATCGATAACAGTGGCATCAGTATGGCACAGAGAAGTAGCAATGATCTATAAGGCAATCACAGACTTGAATTATTGAGTTGGATTTTACATATAATATTAGGCATGATATCATTTTGAAACTTTATAGCACTTCTAGAACTCAATAAAAGAATACCCTTTTGAAAAAAAGAACTCATAAAAAATACTACGTTAGATTATTATCTTCTTATAATGCATCTTTGTTTTCTATCTTTTATTGTTGTCAGAAAATCATAAGAGAAATAGGATTGACATTTATTGCCTCCAGGAGAGGAAAAACAAAAGGTAATAGGGCTTATTCAAATTTTGCTGAAATGAAGTTGACATGATACACCTTTTACAGTTGAAAGAGCAGTATCAAAAAAGGATTGTCTAAATTAATTACCAATGCAACCTATATTACTCTTCTTCAAGATTCTGTCCATGAGGATGTCCCATTCACTCTCATGTACAGACACTTAATGTGGGGTCCTCAGGGAAGATATGTCTAGCCAGCTTGGGAAAAATGGGGAAATGGTCCAAACTTGCCATCAGTGATCTCACTCCATTCTGTGCTGTCTCTTCTCCCTGTGACCTACTCCTGTCCCTTTCTCTGGGTACCCAGGACCCTGGGCAGCAAGTCAGGCTTTTCTTCTTTCTTCTTTTAGATCAAATTTCTATCTGCCTTTTAATAACACTTTCAAATAATTGGCAATTGGAAAGCAAAAAAAAAAAGCTTAACTAGTTCAAATCCAAAGTGAATTCTTTGTCTGATTTTTAGGATAAATTATTAATGTTAAGATCAATTAAATTTTAAGCCCATCATTCGAAAATAACTAAAATAATGGATAATTTATTTCTTTTTGGGATAATGTCTATCTGAAACTGAACCTAAAATACAACTTCCCTGTACTAGAAACTCCAAAGCCTCTGAGTCATAGCACATAGGACAGAAGCCCGGTCTCCACTTAGGGCCCTGTCTCTTCCCACCCAGGGAAAGTCTCCACGCACCTTAATTCGAACTTCATGAGCCTTTGGGGGAGCTACTTCAACCTCCTCAATGCAGAGGGGCTTGCCTGCTTCCCAGGCGATGGCTGCTTTGCATTTAATAACCTGAAAGAGAGAAAGAAAAGGAAGAAAGAGATAGAGATAGAGATTTTTACAGGGTTGGGGGTGGGAGAGAGGATATCATGAGAAAAACTTAGAATATATTGATACTATAATTTCATGACAAGGAGTTAAAGAGTTTGTGACTGGATCTTATAGATATTATTTTAAAGACAAGGGATTTTAATTAAAAATAAGTTAAATTCTACATTATAGTCATTGCATTTTTTATTTCTTGAAAAAAAAAAAAAGGTGTATTAAAGTTTACCTTAGTATAATTCCTCAACTTTTCTCCTCTATAGCAGAGAGGAAACTCTATAAAGAGTTTATAGAGTTTGAATAGGGTAGATGGCCTGTAAAAATCTATTGACTGAACTGTTTAAAATCAGCTCTGAATTACCTGAGTTAGATAATTGCTAGAGAATAGATGTGTTTTGCATCTTTGCTACTTGAAGTGTGGTCTTCGAACAAGCATTTACTCACATCACTTGGGAATTTGTTTGAGATGAAATCCCTGCCTCAAATCCACTAAATCAAAATCTGCATTTGAACAATATCCCAGAGAATTCATTAAAAGTCTGAGATGGGCCAGGAGCGGTGGCTCACGCCTGTAATCCCAGGCACTTTGGGAGGCTGAGGTGGGTGGATGACGAGGTCAAGAGATCGAGACCATCCTGGTCAACATGGTGAAACCCCGTCTCTACTAAAAATACAAAAAAATTAGCTGGGCATGGTGGCACGTGCCTGTAATCCCAGCTACTCAGGAGGCTGAGGCAGGAGAATTGCCTGAGCCCAGGAAGCGGAGGTTGCGGTGAGCCAAGATCGCACCATTGCACACCAGCCTGGGTAAAAAGAGCGAAACTCCGTCTCAAAAAAAAAAAAAAAGTCTGAGAAATGAGACTTTACTTCATTACTAAATTTATCAGTATGATAGAAATTAAATAAAAAATTGGTCTCTTTGCAAGAATTTGGGCAAAGACACATGAACAAAATTAAGTATTTAGGATTCCATAATCCCAATTTTGTCTAGCCTCAAATTATATTTTTAATTTCAAATATAAGCAACATTGAAGGAAAGTAGAAAGAAACCAACCTATAATCTTTTACCACTACTATGCTTACTTTTGGTATGCTTTTCCCAAAGTCTTTGTACCACATTAGTATCTATTTTTCAATAGTTACATAATTTTGAATTATGTTTTTGAATATTATTTATTTTATTTCAAATGAAGTATATATTAATTATAGGAAGTTTCAAAATCCTAAGGCCTATCAAGTTTTTAAAGATAAAAAAATTCATCTGTAATTTCATAACTTACTTTATGCTTTTGATGCAAATTCTTTGAGTATCCCCAAATAAGATATACTGTATATAGTATTTTGTAATATACATTTTCTACTTATTAATATGCTGTGAATATTTCCCCATATTCTCCTGCAACATTATTTGTAACATATGCATATTCTACTTTATGGTTACAGCGTAGTTACTTAAATCTCTCTACTTTTGGCCATTTAAATAATATTAATATTAACTGAACACTCTCGTAATAAACAGTTTGGCAATCCATGGTTAATTTCCCTAGAATAAATTCCTGGCATTGGGGCTACTCATATCCTCTTGATCAACTCTAAGTCACTGCTTCCTGAGTTCCTAAAGGAAGCTTCTTGTAGCCATATATACAAAGACACAGAAAAGCACTAACTGAACAAAGACACAGATTATTTGCTTACTTTGCCCTTGGTGCTCATTTTCTTTGAGATACTTGTGTTGGAAGGTTCTTTCTGAGTTAAGAAGGCTTCCACTCCTACCCAGGGAGTTCTGTGTCCTATAATGAGCTGGCTTTGAATAAATACCACTCATGTTGCTTTATTCTCCAATCACTTTCTTTCCTTCTTTGTTACTGTAATTCCCAACTCTGACAGCCTCTGACCACGTCATCTGTACTATTGGACTTCGGCTGCAAATCCCATTGCTCCCAGTGAGCTCCAAGGTTTTTTAAATTCTTTTTCTGTTTCGTTGAAAAATATAAAATAATAGAAAAAAGCCAATAATATAAAAATGACTTAACAAATAATTATAAAGCAAAGGAAATTTTCACTCATTAGAATCCCCCATTTAACTTACCTATCTCTCTCCTTCACAACCTGATAATAATTTCCTTGCATATTTAGTGGTTTACTACCCTATTCATGCTTCTCTATACAATAGTTTAATCTAGCAAAGCCTTTTTATGGACTCATAGTGTATGTATTCTTTCACGTTTTTTTTTTTTCTCCCCTCTAGTCTATGTGAGAATCATTCACATTGCCTGTGGCTGTAGCTTATTTCATTACTCTCGAATATTCCACTGTATGAATTGGCCATAATTTACTCACCCATTTTTCTTTTCGCTGTTTTTTTCTTCTTTGCTTGTGATGAATTAGTGGTTACATACAAATTATTTTCATGTACTTGGTTGCATATGTGCTTGAGTTGCCTTAAGGAAAATTCAGAACTGATATTCAGCCAGTACCCACTATGAAGGCGATGCCAATTATCAAAATATTGAAATATTTTTATTCAGCTTGGTAAAAAGTCACTGTCCTGAATCCCCAAGTTCCCCTTGAACTCTGTTGCAGCCCTGAGTATCCTATTTAGTCACTGCTAAGGAGCTACTGTCTGTCTTGCCTGATGCATGTGTGAGCCCTCAATCAGCCCTGATGGATCTGGGTATCTGGCTGTCCCCGCAAACAGAGTAGTTCCTGGAACTCCAGCAGACAAATACCTAGTGTCCATCTGACTTCCTAGGGCTGTGGCCATCAGTGCTGTGAGTCAAAGCTCCCCTGGAATCACATATATATGGGCATTTGTGAGAAGTGGAGTGACCTGTCTGTACTGGTTGTTAAATATTTTGACTAGGAGTGGAATTAAAGTCTTCAACTTTGAAAGGCAGGGCCAAGGAAATTTACAGAACGGCTTCACCTACCAGAGCAGCAGTGTATAAGGGTCCTTATTGCTCCACAACCTAATCCATACTTGGATTTAGCAGACTTTAAAAATTTTCTTCATCTGGTGGTGTATAAAGATATGTAATTGTGTTTTTAATTTGTATTGATCTGATTACTGATAAGGAGAAGCACCAGTCTTGTACTGATTTTGTTGTGCTTACTCTATTAACTACTGAGAGATGTTTAGAAATCATTATGATTACTCTGATTTCATTGTTACACATTGAGTACGTGTATTGAAGTATCGCATGTACTTCATAAATAGGTACAGTTCTTTTTGTACATATTAAAATCAAAAACAAAAATGAACAAATAATAATAAAATTATTTTAAATAACTAAAAATAAAACAGACAATAATACATCATTATCATTAATTGTTAATTTCTGATAGTGCTTTTTTTTACTTTACGTATCTTGAAGCTTGATATTACATACATGCAAGAATTCTGTGTTCCATGGATTTTAAGAAATTTAACAAGGTATTTTTTTTTTTTTTGAGACGGAGTTTCGCTCTTGTTACCCAGGCTGGAGTGCAATGGCGCGATTTCGGCTCACCGCAACCTCCGTCTCCTGGGTTCAAGCAATTCTCCTGCCTCAGCCTCCTGAGTAGCTGGGATTACAGGCACGTGCCACCATGCCCAGCTAATTTTTTGTATCATTAGTAGAGACGGGGTTTCACCATGTTGACCAGGATGGTCTCGATCTCTTGACCTCGCGATCCACCGGCCTCAGCCTCCCAAAGTGCTGGGATTACAGGCTTGAGCCACCGCGCCCGGCAACAAGGTATTTTTACCATCTTTCCTTGGCAGTGTATTTTCATTATCTACATCATTTCTTTTCATTGTCCCCTAGTATTCCACTATCTCTTGAATATTTAAGTTGTTCTATTAAACTTTTTGAAAGCATAATTTATACTCTTTGTCTCCACTTTTTCACTAATCACATTTCACTCTTAACTCATTTGATTTTCATCTTTTTGTTCTATTGAAACTGTTTTCCCCAATGCAATGCATGCCTTTTTTTTCAGTTTGCTCTGACTGGAACATCTACTGTGGCCATCTGGGCCCACTGGCCCCTACGTCTCCTTAAGGTGTGTCTTCAGGTTCCTATCCTGCCTTCCCCACTCTTTCTATTTAGATTTAGTCTTTTTCCTTTTTGAATCTCTGTAGCACTCATGTTTGCATAACTTTTCAGGCTTACACGCAAATAGCCAAATGAAGCAAAATAAGTTTTGCTTCATTTTGTCTTACATTCTGTTATTGGTATCTTTTTTGACAGTCTCTTTCCTACCTGTAGCATCCTTAACTGTAGAGATTGTATTGTATTTACATTTCACATCTGAAGAGTGTACTTCAGAGCCCCCGCAAAATGCTAGGTGATTACTAAATGCTGGCCAAATTGAATATTGACCTTGGAAACACAATCGGTGCTAGCATTATTGTCTTCTTTTTGGTCTCTCCTTCTATGCTGCACTTTGATGAACTTCTTTGAAGGTAAGGATGGTCTTTTCCTTTCTGTAAATATCAAGAATTATTTTGAGAGAACAGAGAAGTTTCAGAATAATAAATCCTGGACATATGAATGTGAGGGCTTTTTCTAATGGTTAAAAAAAAAAGCATTCTTATGAGAATGGTTTTACCTTTTACTTTTTCATTTTGGACTTCTAGATGCTTTCAAAATTCCCAATGTTTTATATACCTTTAGAAATACAATTTCTCTCCCATTATATTAGCATAAATAATAATATTTTATAATAGTCCATCAATCTCAACTTGAATACCTAAATAGCACATTTGAAACCCAAGATGTTTCAAATTGAACTCATTGGGTTTCTGCACCAACCATGCCTTGCTCCTTATTTTTAAAATAATTGTTTATTTTCTATATCTAATGACATACCTCCTTGATTCTAAAACACTTTCATTTTCATATTAAAATCTCTGAAATCAGTTTCTTCTTACTGTCGATGGCATGTCATAGTTTTATTGGCAACAGTTTTCTTTCATGGTACATAAAATTATGGTGTATCTGACAATTGATGATAAGCCTTGATGAAATAGATGAGCTGTAAAAATGTGTAGATTGTAATTCCTCAGCATTTCATCCATTTGTCTTTTTTTTTTTTTGGAGACAGAGTTTTGCTCTGTCTTGCAGGCTGGAGTGCAATGGCGCAATAACGGCTCACTGCAACCTCCGCCTCCCAGGTTCAAGCAATTCTCCTGCCTCAGCCTCCCAAGTAGCTGGGATTACAAGCGCCTGCCACTGCACCCAGCTAATTTTTGTATTTTTAGTAGAGAAGGGGTTTCACCCTGTTGGCCAGGCTGGTCTTGAACTCCTGACCTCAGATGATCTGCCCACCTCTGCTTCCCAAAGTGCTGGAATTTCAGGCGTGAGCCACCATGCCCAGCCCATTTGTCTTTTTTCTCCCCACACACTTTTACATTGGGGTTCATTTCCAGTTTCTTTTTTTCCTATTAAAAAAAATTGAGATAAAATTTGCTTAACATAAAATTTACCATTTTAACCATTTCAAGGAGTACAACTTAATGTTTTAAAAATATACTCACAATGTTATGCAACCATCACCACTGCTGGTTCCAGAACATTTCAGTCACCCCAAAAGAGGCCCTGTATATGCTAATTCCTCCTTCCATTTAGTTCTGGCAACCACTAATCTCTTTTCTGTTTTTATTGATTTGCCTATTCTGGACATTCCTTGAAAGGGAGTAATAATGCTGGAGAGTTGGAAAAGTGGTGGACATGTTAGAGCAGCAGGAGCCTAGGACAGCCAGAGTGACATCATTTTAAAATAAGCTCTATCTTAAAACTAGCAAGGTGTATTCCTTGCCAGTCATGACCTATGGTCCTAAGATGTTTACCACTAAGGAGGCAGTTTGGTAATGCCTGCAAGGACAGACTCCTACAACAGAAAGCCCAGATGTCACAACACCCATAACAATATATGCTTTCAAGATATAGTTATGCTTTGATGGACTTACGCATTAAAAATATCAATAATAGTTTTCTTTAAATCAATAGAATAATACATTTAGTCATTCTGTCAGCCCACCTGCACATAGGCACAGCTTAGTTTAATCTTTACATAGATAAGATGCCTGTAGAAGAAAAACTTAAAACAAAGACAGTGCATTCCTCTGCTTGCATTTTGAGGATGCTCCACTGGTTAACAGAGTGGCTTTCAGTAAACTGTCTCTTCTCACAGAACTCTGAGGCTCACCCTGAATTTTTTCCTGCGTGAGATCCAAGAACCTTTTATTGAGGTCTGGATCTTGAAAAGATCCTTTTTTAGCAACATCTTCTGGGGACACATGAAGGGACCTTAAGGTGAGACCCAATGCTGAGGAAATTTGGTCTGCACAGCACTCATTGGCCCCTCTGGTAAGTTGGGTCCATCTTGGTGTCCTCTATTAGGTTTAGGCAAAGCTGATATTCAGATTAGAGTCTGAGCCCATGAGGTTAGAGTCCCTGGGGTATAATAAAAATGGAAATGGAAGTAGTGCAAGCTCTTTGCCACTATGTGCTTTGGACTAATCCACTCGGTCCTGTTTGCGAGGTATGGAAAAGCTATAGTTCTCATCATTTTCCAGCTTGATGCCTTTGCTTTTACTGCAGCTCTATGCTGGCCTCATATGGCTGGCCCAGAGGTTCACTACTTTCACTTTTCATGCTTGCCATCTGCTTACCACATCGGAAGTTCTCTGTTTCTCTTTTCTCTCTGCCTGCTTTGAATCTGCTGTGATTAGGCTACAGGTGTTGAGATAAAACTTGCTTCGAGTTACTTGGAGATTTTGTTTTTCTTGTACAGTTGAACCAGTTCTGGCTAAAATGTAAACATTAGAAACTCATTTG